AAAATTGGATGGGATAGCTAATCTCCTGCCATATGTAAATAAAGTTCAAAACTGTCTTGCTAGATTAGAGAAATTGGCTGACAATAACAAATGAGTTTTAACAGTGACAAATGAGTCATCTTCAGTCAGAAAGCAAAAATTCAATGGAAAACTCTTTTGCAAGTGAAAACACATTACTTTCAGACTAAAGTAGATACACACATGCACCCCCCCCTCCCAAAATTATTAACAGATCTTTAACCACAGTGACTTTACTTAATGTTGCTATAGCAAGTGACATTTTCAGCTTTCCTTAAAAGCAACAGTGACCTGAGGGTAGCAAATGTTCAACACATAAAACCCACCACTCTTACAGTAATAATTGCTTTGTCAGAACTGCAAGGGAACAACAACAGCACTTAAGACACTTCAAGACAAAGAGGGAGGTATTGATCTATCCCTTATCAAAATAGTCTTTGTACTATAGAGACAGGTTAAACAACATTATAAAAACCTGGAGGCTTAAACAACACTCCTCACAGAATCTGCCAGAGACACAAGAACTACTTTTAGTGTTAATGACAGCTACTTTGGGAATCTCTTGAAGGAAGAAAAAAGTGAACTAAACCCAAACTCACACTAGCAACTAAAGATGAAATCCTGTCCTCAAAAAAAAGGACATAATCAAGAGTGCCACTCCATATATGTTCAGATACTGGGGTAACATAATATAACATGACACGACACAACACAAAACATGTTTCCCTCTTGAAAATTGGTTGCGTTGATTACAATTAACTCTCCATCTAATGGATGATCAGTATAAATTGTAAAAACTACAGCAGCATCAATAATAAAACAATTCTCAGTCGACTTAAAACAAATTCTGTTCTTATCTCCAAGATTATCAAATAGAAATTTAAAGATATTTTTTTTCTTAAAAAAATATCCTGAAGTAGCATAGTACTCACAGTCTGATTGGAAGAAGATCAAAAGTTGGAGGAAAACTAGATTTCATAAGGAACAAGTTGCATTACTGAGGTACTGCTCTAGAAAAAGGACCTACCTTGTGGACTCATACGATTATAAGCATGATCACAATTTCTCTTAGTCATCGCTTCATCTAATAACAGAGTTGCTGAATCCAACTGTGGTCACTAAAAGGGGAAAAATTCTTTAACTAACTTCATATTCTCTATGGCCACTGCATTTCACTGCTGCACTTCCCTTTTTATTCTTGCTCTCATGAAAAGTTGCTTTGAGATGGAACCCATCCAGTAGGACATCTAAGTGAGTAACATGCTGCTTATATTGCTTATAAATTCCAGCAGGTTCAAGTACACATAAATATTATTATATATATATATATATATTATTACTTTATACACTTGGATTCCCAAGCAAGTAAAGTAGGAATTTTATAAACACCAGAACCTTGATTTTGGCTCTAAAACAAATGGTAAGCTGGTGGACATAGTTTAGGATAGATATTATAAGACCTAGTTAATACTTTGGGAATTAGCTGTGATTTCTGAATGCTTTTAGAAGACAAATCCACGTATACTACATAATAAAAATAATGCAAATGAGATAAGAAAGCATAGATCACAGAAGCCAAATATTCCAGAGTGATTCATTTCACTTCTACTGAATATTTCTTCCCATCTAAGATTATCTCTAGTCTAGTGTTTGATTCTGTGAAACTGATCAGACTGAATTACATTTGATTTGCTCCAAGACCATCAACTACACAATATGGGGAGCTAAAACCAACTTTCCCACAACTGAATTCATTATTCTAGTCTTTCATCCTGTTGCCTTGGTCTACTTATGGATGACTTTGTCCTTGTATATTTAGGTCTTATCCCAAATAAATTAGTTTAAAAATCCCACTGAAATCAATAGAGGTTATCTTCAATTAAAATTACTTGGAAAGGACTCCTGAGTCCATTTGCATTGCAGCATTTACTGTGATATTGAATTATTTTAGTTGGCCTAATAGAACAAGAGCCTATTTTCTATAGAGGATGGTCTTCAATTACACATCCTGTTGGGTGTCTTCCAACTCTAAAACGTTCACTTGATAACAACTGTGAAGTAGAAAGTGCTGATAGAATTAGATTAAAAAAACATCCATTGTTGGTTAAAAGAGGGGAGTGAGAGAGTTCAAAGTTTGTCTGTTGGCACCAGCAATGCCCATATAAAGGGATAACTACCGCCTTCCTGTTCAGAGATAGATCCAAAGTCAAGGAAAAGACTTTGATCAGAGCCATTCAAATTCAGTCCAGCAATTATGCACAGCTGGGCTAGACCTGGATATTCACTAGCTTTATTTCTGTATCAGGATGAGATTATCCAAAATGGAAGGGCAAGCTTTTCATTGCTGCTCCACAGTTATATTCAGTTGTTATCATCTAGAACTGCTACAGTAAGAAATCATTGTTTCCTCCAATGACATCCAAAGCTCTAAAGGAAGAGCAAGAAAATATTTAGCATGTCTCTCCTGCACGAGTTTCCTTTTTGAGCTACACTTCTATCCCATCCTTCTTTCAGGCAACGCCATGCAATGTGTAGTAGGATGGTGCATGCTTTGATAATTCAGAAGAAATGCTTCAGGATTTGTACTAGGGTAGGAACAGAGCCTCCCTATTATTCCTTAAAGGGCTCTGAGCTTTTTTAGGCTTCCATGCAAATTTACTTCTTTCAAATATTTCAAAATATTTCAAATTTTTCAAGTCTTTGCAACTGCACAGAAATGTAAAAACACCCGAGCTGCAAATAAGTAGGGGAGAGATCCTCTACTCACATATTTAAAGGACATCTGAAATATTTTGGAAGTCCACACAGCCCCCACCCACCCACTCACTCACAGTACATGAGTCTTTTTATATATCAACTTTCATCATCTTTCATTAAGGTAGTTAGATGAAAAGAAAATTGGCTGGAGATTGGAACCCTCTTCAATTTAGTCCAGTCTAACCATTTCAACATTGGCAAATGTGGCACCAGGCTAAGAAAGCCATATCACTTCTTGAGCTTTTAGCTAAGATCAGAGATTCATATATTTTGCAGTTTAGATCAGATTTTCTGAGTTTATTTGCCATTCATTGCTTTTCTCAAAATAGAGCCTCTTCAGAGGAATGCATATTTTGATCCATTTTCTATCTGGGGAAGGAAATATAAAGTTGGAACCTGCATGATGAAGTGTTTAATTTTTCTACCATTGAATTACTCTCCTGTAGAAATGATTCCCCCATTCTATCTGAGAATACCTTTATAGGATTTTTTTTTTTGCCATTCCTGTGAAATCAGCATTTTTGTACTTCGTTCCAGTCTCAAATGAAATCTAATTTTAAAATGGCCACAAATTTAAGGTAAAAGGACTCTCCCTCCTACAAAAGTAGTCCCTGTGGTAGATAGGCTTCCTATAATTAGCAAGGTCTGGAAAGGAAAAGAGAAAATAGTCACTATAATGGCAGTTCAGCATCCACTTACATATATCCTAATAGAAGTTACAAATTCTGTCTTGAGAGGCTGATGGAGTTCTTAAGGCAGAATGATCCCAAATGATCCTTGAAAAGAGAGGGGGGGAGTTCTCTCCTCCAAAAATAAAATGGCTTTTTTTCCTGGCATGGTTACACTAAAGAAAAAGATAGATAGGAAGAAGTAGTAACTGATAGGAAGAGGAATCAGAAGGGCCTCACCAGGACTCAGAAGTAGGAAAGGTATCATCCAATTCCATTTTCACCCTTTCTGAGACATAGTTGTCTTGGGCACCATAGGTTCATATTTTTATATGCTTTTGTATTAAAACCTACTTAATTGAGACTAGGAGAACCCAAACAATCAAAATCAACACAGCATCATAATTAAATCTGAAGAGGATCATCTGCAAAAATTAGAAGTTACCATGGAAAATTCTTGGCAAATTACTTGAAGAAGGGAATTCCAATTTTGTGCCAGCTTTCTCTTTAGGAAGCCTGGCTATCAATGTCAGCAATCTGCCTCCTGCAAATAATGGAATGCAGAAGTGTCATCACCTCCAGATCATAGGGACAATGGCAGGTTATATCAGAAACTGACATGAGAACCAAAGCAATTTCCCCCAAGCTGTGGATTGAAGTATCAGACTCCTTGCCAAAAACAATGCTACCTGGGGAATTCTGGAACCTGAAGCCCAGATATCTGGAAACCACACAGGCATAGGAGTCTAGTACAAATGCTGATGCTGAAAAATTTGTAACATGCGTTGCAATTTCATGATACAAACATTGGGCTTCTCTATATGAGATTTGGCATTAGATGCAAGTATGTAAGTCACCTACTTCATTTTTACTTCTGTGCTTGCCATGCAATGCAGGTTAAGTAGATGGATCCAAAGGGCTTTGATCCCTTTCCCCTCTCCTCCTCCTCCTTCTCCTTCAACATACAACTGCCTTCACATTAGATCAGGAATGGGGAACAATGGCCTTTTATGACTTGTGAACTTCAACTCCCAAAATTCCTGAGTCAGATAGGCTTCATCTAAAAGTCATTGGCTCAGGAATTCTGGGTGTTCAAGTCCACATGTCATAAAAGTGCCTTCATTCCCCATCCCTGATGTAATGTGAAGGCAAGTGTGTGTTGGAGGGGAGAATGGGGAGGAGGAGAAGGAGGATCTCCACCCTTGTATTAGATGGGCCATTCACAANATCTATCTATCTATCTATCTATCTATCTATCTATCTATCTATCTATCTATCTATCTAATATTTTCTCCATTTCTCTCTCTTTCTGTCTCCCTTTCTCCATCCATTTACTATTTACCAGTTTATTTATTTCAATGTTTATATAGCCACCCATATTATACAATAAACTCTGGGTGGCTCCCAACCAAATCTCTCTGGACAATATCCAAAACAGAGTCGTCCCTGGTTTCTGGTGGGAATGCATAATTTTCAGGAGAATCCCACTAGGTGATGGATGATGGTGGTGATGATTGCATCCCAGGAAATCCCCTGTCTCTGTTTATTTCTAGGTTTTCTTTAAAGTGGTGGAAGGCGTTCTTAAGATACCTGTTTGGAACAGCATGAGCCAGGTAAGGATAATATTTTCCCAGACCTTATCTGGTCTTCTCTTGGAGTCAAGGCCTCCGTCGCTTGCTTATCACTCCAGCTTTGTCACTTCTGCTTTCAGGCGGCGTACTTTGCCGGAGAGCTGGTGTCCACCATTGACAGTGTGACATGGCACATCACACACAACCTGGGAGGAAGCCCTTCAACCATCACAGTCCAAGGCAGTTCACCTGTGGCAGGTGAGATTTATTGGGTCTCTGTCCAGTTTTGGTCTCCGACGCAGGTGATGAATAACTGAGCAAAGCCACTTCTGTGGCTTTTTGCTTGCAGACATGAAATTTTTCCTTTCTGTTCTGACCTAGGCTTCCCCAGCAGCACGAAGCCATGTTGTCGTCCTGATAAACCCCTTTTATTTAATTGTCAGTGAATTCCTCTCCAGCAAAGTCTTTCCTCTCCCACAGTCTTTCAAGAGAGTTCACAATTACCAACCTTTATCAGCGTTGGAGAGTGGCCAGGCCAAGATCTTTCAGACGCCGCAAATAATTGTCTCCTGCAAACTCCACTCCCTTTCGCTCCTCTTTTATTCACTATGGGAAGGGCATTCACCGTCCACATGTGGCCTTACTCCCAAGTCGACCCCTGTTCTTTAGCTGCTCCCTTCGTCTGGCAACTCTGCGCATGCGCACACTGGGAACAGGCTCCATCTGTTCATCTCTAGGCTGGAATACTGTAATGTGCTCTACATGGGGCTGCCCTTGAAGAACATCCGAAGACTACAGCTAGTCCAGAATGC